TGGCAAGTCCATGAGAGCAGCTGCTACGAATCAAAAAGTTTCATTATCCACACTGCACCGTCACATCAAGCAACAGAAGACCAGCGCACCCACTCGATCTGTCGGGCGCCCTCCTCTCCTCACAGCACTCCAGGAGAAAATGGCTGTTGACCTTGTCAACAAGTATGCAGACATGGGAGTTCCCATGAATTGAATGCATTTGGCAGAAGGTATCTCCATTATTGCGGAACACCTCCCACATCCTCGGCAAAGTGAGCTTCCGTTTGCAAACGGTCGCCCTGGTCGGTCGTTTTCAAGGTCATTTCAGCGGCGCCATATCCAAGACATTAGATTTGCCAAACCGGTTCGACAAGAAGGGAAGAGATTTCTATCGTGTACTGCCGAAATCCTCACCACACATTTCGCCACCCTCAGTAAGCTTTTTGAAGAGCACTGCTTCGACGGCGCACGCATATGGAATTTGGACGAAAACGGTGCTACCGCCGGTCGAGACGTTGATGGAAAGCCCTCGTGTAGGTATTTACTGCGTCGTGGCGGATGTGGTGACATGAAAACCGTCGGGTTCAAATCCTTCGGTCGGGTGACAATCATGCCATGTATAAATGCTGATGGTGATGCAGGGCCTACGCTGAACGTCTTCAAAGGTTCTGGAATTTCGTACAGCACTGTTCTTAAAGACGGAAACGTCGTGGTCGAGAGTGTTGCGGACATATTGCCGCGCGGCGCACTTGTGACAGTCAGACGCGACAATGCCGGGGTTGACACGACCACTTTTTTTGAATGGGCTATACGTTTTGTGAATCACGTACGGGATCTCACAGCTAACGGACGGAAAGTTTTGTTAATTTATGACGGATGTAGATCTCACATAAGCGTTAAAGTTCTACATTTCTTTGAACAGAATGGGGTGTTCGTTTATGCCCTACCCGCGCACTCATCTGGAAAAACTCAGGCGCTGGATGTCGTCATGTTCAGCCTTTACAAGAAGGCCATCAACAAGGCCCTTTGTGACACTGTCGACAGGGTCGGAAGCAAGGAGTACAGTGTGTTTGATTTTTGTTCTATCTTACGAGCGGCGTATCATGAATGCTTTACTAGAGATAATATACGGGCTTCATTTCGACGATCTGGTATTTTTCCACTTGACCCATCTAAACTTTTGTCAGTTCCAAGGCCGGAGTCTGGACAGAATATTCAGAATATTTTTCCCAAGAGCAGTTAATGGAGGCTTTCGAGGCAAAGCGTCGAGAAATCAGGCAGAGATTATTGGGGGAGGACTCTGTTCTGACTAGTAGCGGATATCTGAGCACAACTGCGGGATGTGTTTTTACCTCTTCTAAGGCTCTACATTTAATTAAGGTGAAGGAGCGACGAGAACGACTTGCACGAGAGAACCGCGATCGAATGGCGGCTGAGCGATCATTGCGTGCTGCTGCTCGATCCGATTGTGCCAGGCGTGAATTGCGACGAGCCAATGATCTTGCTTTAAGAAGGCGAGCGACTCTAGCGGGAATGAGTATAGGTCCTTTAGCAAGCAATTGCGTTCGACTGAGAAGCGTCGGGATGTTGCTCGTCTGCGAACTCTGCGCAAGGTCATTAACAAGTAAAGGAATTTTGTGCACACAGTTTCACAATGACGTGTTGCGCATTTTTTCCGCAGAAAAAATATTTTTCTGTGGGCCAGATATGATATATGTCCCGAATTGTATGCAAATGCACAAAGTCGTTGGGATCTCAACAAGTGATGCACGGAGCTGCTCGTTTGATTTTAGACATTCTGGTTGGATCCTGGCTTCGGACCCACCGCTTCGTGGCTCAGTTAGGGACAACTCCAGAACACGACGACGTAAATGAAGCACCCTAAGTAGTTTTTTCAATATTTTTTATCATGCCGTTCCATAATTAGCGCCCCCCTTTACTAAACGTTTGGCAAACCAGAAAACATTCAATTCCGTATCTCATTCTTCCCTACTCAACACTTTCGTCTTCCTCTTCCCCAAATTTCTTCAAAATGGTGAGCGTCAATGATCCTCGAATTATTGCAAGTAACCGCGTCCACACTCGTGCAAGACTGCTCACAGCTCAGAGTAAAATGTCGTCGCATATATGGAGCCGCCTGGAAGATCAAGTTGGTCACGGGAACTGTCATTGGCATGAAAACTGACAAAGTGGAGGGTCGCAGTGTCACTTCAGTCAGGGCTAAATGGGAATTATCAAATGGCGTCAAGGAAGTCACGCTTCGCATAGCTAACATCAAGGCTGGTGAAGTGATGGACTTGATCGATGACGACCCTGAAGATCATATCCATCAAGAAACTGAACATTATGTGCGACCGGAGCCTACAGAGGACGGCGTGACGCCACTGGAAGGAGCACTCAGCCCGAGTACGAGGATCTCCGAGAGTGACGAAATGGACATCCAAGATGGCCTCATGAATGTCCGCGGCCGGGCCTGGAAGCGTGAGGAGGTCACAGTGCATTTAAATGGTATGATACCGCCGAGAAGATGGAAGGTGATTGGACCGATTGATGAGATTATATCCCGTGGTCACAGTCCATCTCAAATGCATCCCATGGACTACTTCATGTGGATGTTCCCACAGGAGCACTAGGCATTAATGGTTTCCCACACCAACGATGCAATGGAATCAAGGGGACTTCGCTTGACTACAAGAGGTGAAATTTTGAAGTTTTTCGGGGTGCTAATCCTTATGACTCGGATTGAATTCAGCACCAGAAGGTCTCTTTGGAGCTCACAGGAAACCAGCAAATATCTCCCGCAACCTCAATTCGGAAACATCATCTCCCGCAGAAGATTCGAGGAGCTTCGTCAGAATGTCACGTTCAGATTTCCAGCTGACTCAAATGACAGATGGGGTATGATCAGGGACTTCATGGTCGCAATCAATGATCACAGAGCATCTCATGTGATTCCATCACAGAACATATGCGTTGATGAGAGTATGTCACGCTGGTATGGACTTGGAGGAGATTGGATTGAAACCGGTCTTCCTCATTATGTTGCCATGGACCGAAAACCCGAGAATGGCTGTGAGTTGAAGACTGCTGCATGTGGAAAAAGTGGAATCATAATAAGAATTGAGAACGTCGTCTCAGTTGAGGAGACTTCTTTAAAGGATTTTGAAAGTGACCACTTACACGGAACGGCAGTGACTTTGAGGTTGTTACAGCCATGGTTTCACACCAATCGTGTTGTCTGCGCGGATTCGTACTTTGCTTCTGTCCACACGGCTGAATCACTTTATGAGAAAGGTCTTAGATTCACAGGTGTGGTGAAGACATCTACCAAGAAATATCCGATGAAATATCTATCTCATTTGGAGATTGCTGAAAAGGGAGAGCACGTCACACTAGTTTCAAAGCCGGTGGCGGGGCCTCATCTCATGGCAGTGATGTGGGTGGACCGAGACCGCAGATACTTTATTAGTTCTGTCGGAACATCCAACGAAGGAACTCCAATCTACCGCGAGAGATGGCGTACACGTCATGGCGTGACAAGAAAAGAGGAATTGTCTATCCGTATTCCATCAGTCTGTGAGCAGTATTATGAAACTTGCTCTCAGATTGACCGCCACAACAGATCTCGTCAGGATGATCTCGGCTTGGAAAAGAAGTTCGAAGTCAAGGAGTGGTCTATGCGTGTCAACATTTCTTTATTGGCCATTTGCATTGTGGATGCATGGAAACTGTATGCAGGTGCAAAAGGAGATGGTTCTAAGATGTCTCCAAATCAGTTTTATTGTGAGCTTGGTGACCAGTTGATTGATAACAAATATGGTCGTATATCGTTACGTCAGCGAGAATCAGACAGTGCTGTTGAAGATGAAGATGTTGGGTTTGGCAGTGGAATTGGTACTCACCTAACTCCAACCACTCGCAAGCGGAAAAACGCATCCGGCGAGGAGACTTGTGCTCTTTATCAATCCAGATGCAATATTTGCAAAGGTACAAAAAAGTCAAAGTTTATTTGCTCAGCCTGCAAGGTATATTTTGACAAAGAAGTATACCTTTGTCATTACCAGACTGGGCGTGACTGTTTTAAGAAACATGTCGACGAACGGCACGATCTTACTTACAAAGGTAAGTACTACTAGTGCTGAAGGTGTTCTCGGCCATTAAAACTGACTAAATCGGTCAGCATGTGAGTAAAATAGAGCAAAAAGAGATAAAACTCCTTTGACCCCCTATGGTTCTACCCTGCGTCTAAAAACGTGCTTGGAAGACCTGCAGCCATGTCGGAATGCCCCTTTATGAGATGTCACCGTATTCAATCTCATGTTCGAGTGGGCGCTATAAAGCGTCCTGGGCTGCAGGTCACGAACAAGAACCATCGAGATCCCCGAATCGATTTTTCGACCACTAAAGTGCTCAGCGAGGAGTTGAACCCCGGCCACTAACACTCAGCGATCCTTGCAGACCACTGAGCTGGCTTGTCAGTTACTAACTAGTCGTTTATAGTTGTCTTTATAGTCGTTCAAAGTTCTACTTCGTAGAAATTGTGCTCCTTTTGTTCTATACTTGCGAAAATCTTAAATTTTGTTTAAATTTTACTGTAGAGCATTTGACCTCATATGAGGCAAATTGCCGGTCGTCTAGACACTAGGTCTAGGTGACAAATGGCCTCATATGAGGCCAGTTTTTAGGCGGGCTTTTGCAATTCGAATAATTGTAGAAATTTATCGCTACTGTAGTGAAAAGCTTACGACTAGAGTATTAAACGTTGGCAAACCAGAAAACATTCAATTCCGTATCTCAGTCTTCCCTAATCCAATGGATACACGCCAAGTGTATTCTATTTCCCATGATTTGCGGATCTTATGGCACGGCGCTCAGAATCAGCAAGCAGTTCGGGCTTGGCCCTTTTATCTGATTGTGATTAGAAGCGCAACAACCTCTAGTTAGAGCCCTGACTTGGAGTTGCCGTGCACATTTGACGTAGGGTGGTGCGAACGCCCGGGTCGCAGTAGTTTCGCCTCAACATGAGGTTTTCCATTGTTCAGAACGCCAGAGCCCTTCTCACACGCAGGTCGGCTTCCCAATGGCGCTCGACGGCCCATCGGAGTCTCTCCAACGCTGCAGCAGTCGCGAACGAACAGCCTTCCGCAGACCTCGATCGCTTAGAGCGACACAGAAACATCGGAATTAGCGCACATATAGATTCCGGGAAGACGACGTTGACAGAACGAATTTTGTTTTATACGGGGAGGATTGGAGCTATCCACGAGGTCAAAGGGAAGGATGGCGTTGGAGCAAAGATGGATAGCATGGAACTAGAGCGCGAGAAAGGTACGATTGGGTTCATTTTGGAGTACTTTGCTAGGCACAATGCCACGTTTGAGCGGTAGTCTGACCACCGACTTTTTCACGTATCCACACTGAATATCTATCAACAGGGATTACAATTGCGTCTGCTGCGACTCACACGACATGGGACGGAAATACGATCAATATCATCGACACACCCGGGTAGGTTTTCTCGTCCCAATTGATAATTTTTTTGTCACTGATTGGCGCTTTCTGCAACTAACTCGGGATCCATATGTTCGTCTGCGCATGCGCGATTGCGCCTGTTTGATGGCATCAATATGTATGTACATATGTTCACAGTCATGTCGACTTCACTATTGAAGTAGAGCGAGCATTGAGGGTACTGGATGGTGCTATATTGGTTCTGTGCGGTGTGTCGGGTGTTCAAAGCCAAAGTTTGACTGTTGACCGTCAAATGAAGCGGTACGGAGTCCCGAGAGTCACATTCATTAACAAGCTAGACAGATCAGGTGCGAATCCGTGGAAAATAATAGACCAAGTCCAAGCAAAGCTTGGGTTGAGAGCAGCAGCAGTCCACATTCCCATTGGCCTAGAGGACGATCTCAGCGGAGTGATCGATATCATTCATGAGGAGGCACTTTACTATGACGGCCCAAACGGTGAATCTGTACGAAAGGAACCGGTACCGGCTGAGTACCAAGAACTGTTGGCAGAAAAGAGAAAACTCCTCATCGAGACCCTTGCGGATGTCGATGAGATTATCGGTGATATGTTTCTCATGGAGTCGCCCATTTCGACGCAGGACATTCATGATGCTATTCGGAGAGCCACGCTAGAGAAGAGTTTCTCGCCAGTCTTGATGGGAAGCGCTCTAAAAAATACTGGTGTGCAGACCCTCCTTGATGGAATAGTCCAGTACCTTCCGAACCCTAGCGAGCGGAGGAATCTTGCGCTCGTGCAAGTAATGAAAGAAGGGTCTGAGGACGAAGTTGAGGAGAAGCAAGTAACGCTAGCGTCGGATTCTTCGGAGTCCCTGGTCTCACTGGCATTCAAACTCGAAGAAAGTCGCTACGGACAACTTACCTACGTTCGAATATATCAGGGAACGCTGAAGAAAGGCGATTATCTTATCAACACGCGAACCCGAAAAAAGGTTAAGGTACCACGCTTGGTGCGAATGCATTCAAATGACATGGAGGAGATATCCGAATCCCAAGCTGGTGATATTTGTGCAATGTTTGGTCTTGAGTGTGCGTCTGGAGACACTTTTGTCTCGGCAGAGAAGCCAGTATCCATGAGTATGGAATCGCTCTTCGTTCCTGATGCAGTAATGAGTCTCGCAGTTGAACCGAAGAAAAAAAGCACCTCGTCCGCCAACTTCACGAAAGCATTGAATAGATTTTGCCGTGAAGATCCGACTTTCCGAGTCCATATGGATCCCGAATCAAAGCAAACCATCATCTCTGGTATGGGAGAGCTTCATTTGCAAATTTACGTGGAGAGAATGCTTCGTGAGTACAAAGTGGATCTGGAGGTCGGGGCGCCCCGCGTCAACTATCGTGAGACCATCACAAACCGTTCGAACTTTAACTACACGCACAAGAAGCAGTCTGGCGGCGCAGGGCAGTTTGCTGCACTTCAGGGATATCTCGAAGCGACAAAGGACGGAGTTAGTGTGGAGTTCAAAAATGCACTCATTGGCAACAATGTCCCGCCTGGCTTTCTCCCCGCGATTGAGAAAGGTTTTCGGGAAGCACTGGCAGAAGGCGCCCTCACTGGGCATCCGGTGCAGGGTATACGCATGGTAATTGAAGATGGAAAGACCCACCCCGTAGACTCTAATGAGCTTGCCTTTCGGATGGCATCTATTCAGGGATTTAGACAAGCTTTCAACAATGCACGACCCATAGTTTTAGAACCTGTCATGCGCGTTGACGTTGAGGCTCCGACTGAGTATCAAGGAACATTGATTGGAGGCCTCTCCAGACGCAAAGGGGTCATCGTGAACTCAACTAGCACTGGCGAGTACGGTGCAATTGAGTCAGAAGTGCCCCTGGGACAAATGTTTGGGTACTCAACAGAACTGCGGAGCATGACACAGGGCAAGGGTGAGTACACGATGGAATATTTACAACACCGGAAGCTTTCGGACCCATCAGAATTGATAGAGGTGTATAGAGAGAAGAAGGCAGCTGGGCGAAAATGAATAAACGAATGATATGGCTCGCTTGAGAGGTGCTTGTGCAGAATCCCAGTGATAACTTTTTAGGTTGGTTGCGAATCTACTTCGAAACTTCAGACGAATATCCTGTTACAGTATCGCCATTTTACGGATACATACAAACCGCTGCCCCTGCCTGTCCCTCGTTCCGAAAGTTTGCGTGTTATGAGCTGCATGGATACGTGATCTTCGGACTTGAGATTATGAACAACAGGAAGAAATCGTTCGCAATAGAGGTTTCAGCTGTGGTAGTGATGTCCTGTCTTATAGACTGGGACACTGCGAGTGTGTCTCTCACGTTTTTCGTGAAAGCTGCCCTAACGATTGAGCAGATACATTTTGATGGCGATACCCTAGCGAAAAACTGTCCTCACTGACAAAGGGTGAATGCAGGATGGAATATTTGCCACATCGCAATTATTCCGAGGGGATCGATTTGATCGAGATGCACATAGAGACGAAGGCAATTTGAAAAAAAAAATACTTCGAACGTCGCTTACGCCTTCGTCTGTGCCTCTGTAAAGACAGATGGTTGGTTTAGTGGCCTCTCAAGTTGTTCGAAGATACTGTGTCGCGATGTGTCCATCCAAAATGACTATTTTACAAATGCTGAAGAGCAACTGCAGTTGCCGTTCTCTCATTGTGGAACACAATCGGGTCAAATGCTGTCGAGTTACAAAACGTTTCCGTTGGAGAAGACGAACAATGTGGAAGAATCGTCGAGGGTTTCGAAATAGGGCAAGGCCGGTAATGGGACACTCTTGTTTTCAGACTTCCAACAACGTAGAAGACTGGATATGCTTGACACAGGTATTCTCTGATGTCCAACGACAACATTGGGAAGATGCTGCGGGTCCTTTCTTTCTTCGAGTTCGTCTTCTCCGAAATGGTAGATAGCCCTTTCGCCATTTGAATCTTGAATAATGGCAATTCTGATATCTTTCAAAACAACTTCAACCACAGCTTCGATATTGACGCGAATTGCATGCGGTGAGACCCCCGAAAAACATTGCGTGGGTTGCACTCTGTTCGCAACTGTAGAGCGGCATGAAGTGTCTTCCTCAGCATCCTGGGTGTCCGGCACTTCGAACACAGAATCGCCAGCGTGTCTAAGCGAGTGCCACGAGAGCATCTCAGAGTTGATGGCGCAATTTTGCAATGCGACAGAAATTGTTTCAATTCGCATGAAGCCGACGCTATGTGCAATGATGACAATTCCCGAACTCGAAGGCGACCAAGGACTTGTCGTGGTCAGGTCCCATGGCTCCGGCACGTACAACACGACACCCTGATACTCGACCTCTACCGCCCCCTCATCAAGTACGCTACGGGGCAAGACGAGGGACAGTTCCTCCGCATCGCTCTGCGTTTTGCTGTTGTTTCCCCATGGCTGGACAATGAGCACCTGACCCTCCCACCGCACGACGTTGAGGAAGAGGCTTTTCTCGACGAGCTTCGCGACTTCCCTGACGTCGACGCGCGGCGCGAGTACGGCGGTCCGCAGCAGGCCCTGATTAAGCTTTGCGACTTTCTGGTACGCGTAGAGCTTGGCCGTGAGGGGGCCCGTAGGATGCCTGGGGCGCTTCTTCGCGGAGAAGAGGTCGACCGGCTGCGTGCGCTCCTTTCCACTCGCGACGCGGAAGTGGGCCGGCTGCGGGGTGCGGGGCGAGCTGCGGTGGCGGGGGGTAGACTTGGAGGACCTGTTCTTCCGCGGGGGGACAGGGATGGGGTAGAAGAGCTTGCGCTTGACGGAATGCAGGTTAAGGGAGATGGGAGCGAGGGGGGTGCGGGTGCGCAAGGAGACGGGGGTCGAAGGGAGGATGGTGAGGCGCACTGGGTTCCATGGCTTCCGGTGGGAAGAGGGGGAGGGGCGGTGGCTGGTGGAGGAAGGGGTCACCGGCTCGGAGATCGGCATGGCGCGCGGGAGCACCGGGAGGGGGGAGGCGGGAGGTGGGGGGGGGAGGGGAGGTAGGGCGTTTGGTCATGGGTGTTTTCGGAAGCATGGGTGTTTCGGTTGGCGCGAGTTTTGCACTCGGGCGGAACGCGGGCGAATAAATTGAGGACGCTTGGTGCGCATTTATTGGCAGATGGTGTGATGATTGGGGGTTTCAAAAATCAACGACAACTGCATTACCCTTCCCCAAAAGGGTAATTTGGAGAGCGTTGATTCTTTCCCCTTCCAAGATCAAATCTTCCTTATTATGCTCTAAGAGCATCACCACCGGTAGAATCAAACAACCAAATAACCAAAATTTGATGATGTGATGTGGATTGACATCCCCACCGGTCCGACCAAATCAGCAAATTTTTGGTTCCGAGCCAAACATCGGAACCAAATATCAAGAATTAGGTTCCGTTTCTTCGTAATTTGATACCCTGGACAATCCAGTTGTTCAAGGCTCATTGGTCACACGAAAGGGCTTCTCCCCAAACCCCCAGGACGAAGCGTACTATACAGTAAAGGGGGGTTGTGCAACTGTTGAACAGTTGCATCAAATCTTGAACAAGCAAACTTTCTGCAAAAACAACATTATTTTAACTAAATAGCTCATTCTCTTGCTATATGACATCACATTCGAGGTAATGACGTCACTATCTCTCCAAAACCGGTGGATAACTTCAAAAACAAAACTGACCATCGGTCTTTTGGCGTTTTTTTACTTCGAGGGCGCGCATTTCACAAGTATCACTTCACACAGTTCATGGATATAGGCCCAATACAGAGTAAAGTGCTGATAACGACACATTTTGACTTCCCTTCCCTGCTCCTGTTTCATTTTACCTGCTTGTCTCGATTTTTGATCGACCCACACCGTTTGAGACACCACACAATGGGCACCGCTAGTGCGAAGCAACTGCGTGAACGGAAGATCAATAGCGCGATGCAAGCCATCAAACATAGCATGCCTTATCGCGAGGCATCGAAACAGTTCCATGTGCCAGTCGGGACCCTTCATTATCGTATGACTACCCCTCCGCAAAAGCCGGGCGGAAAACGGCACTGTCTAGGCCGCAAAAGAATGAAATTGTTGAGATGCTGCTTCGTTTTGCTCGCAGAGGATTGCCGCTGACGCAACACCATTTAAGAGAGGCCTCCTTGTTCGTGGTTTCCCGGCTTTCACCGGCTGAGAGAGTAACATTGCCTTTCAAACATGGTTCCCCTAGCGACTTCTATCTGAGGGCTTTTCGAAGACGTCATGCTGCGCGGATCAAATTTGGAAGGCCGCTTTCCCAAGAGAGCAAACGGTTCGCTGCCGTCAACATGGAGTCTCTCACCACGCATTTTGCAATGAAAATGATATCGACGCAAGTCGAATTTTTAATTTGGACGAGGTTGGCATCTCTCCTAACAAGGATGCCAGCGGCCGCCTAGGTTGTAAAAGGATTTTGCCCAGGCGCAGGAATCAAGACTTTGTCGGCCATTCATTCAGATATGAAGACAGAGTAACGATGATGCCCGTTATAAGCGCAGCCGGTGAAGCGGGGCCCCCATTGTTTGTCATAAAAGGAAAGCGCATTGCGAACAACATGCGCTTCGCAATGGGAGGGTGTACGTCGATAGCCCTTCAATCCGTCTGCCTCGACGGTCAGTGCTTGCAACACGCATGGAGGGAGGCGGGGTGGACACAAAAAACTTTCTGTCATGGGCATATAGCTTTATCGAATTCACAAAGGACTTGCGAGGTGAAGGGCAGACGGTTATGCTAGTACACGACGGCTACCGCTCTCCTTTATCGTTGCAGGTACTGGAAGCGTTCCACAAAAATCGCGTGATTGTCTACGCGCTCCCTTCTCACACTTCAGGAAAAACTCAGCCCCTCGACACAGTGCTGTTTGCGGCGTTCAAAGCAGCTCTGAACAAGACCGCTCATGACTGTACAGGGTTTGGCAGAGACGGCAGTATAGACATATTTGGTTTATGCAGTATCATACGTGAGAGTTACGACACCGCATTCACTAGGGAGAACATTAAGGCCTCGTTTCGTCGTTCTGGCCTTTGGCCTGTCGATGCCAGACGTTTGCTTGGGGAACCGAGACTGGAGAGTGGTAAAAGAGATGCAGCTATTGTGGGAGTCGATGAGTTCACCGAAAATTTTGAACACAAGACAAACTCTATTCAAGCCAAAATTATAGGCTCCGATGCCGTCGTTTTAGATTGTGGATATGTTGACACGACCAACGGGTGTGTAATGACGTCAGCCAGGGTTTTGGAACTCGTGAGGAAAAAGAAAGAACAGGATAGAAAGAAGAGAGAAACGGAAGAACGAGTACGTTTAGGACGTGAGCTTCGAGCTGCTAAACGCCACACTAAGCTACGGAACGAAAGCACGAAATTGCGCGGGGCGCCAATGTTTGCGAAGAGCGCACATGGCAGGCTTGACAGTGTAGGACTTTGCAAAGAGCGTCCGCTCCATGAAGGAACGTCGTGCGATTGCGAAAATGAGAGCTCTTTCTAAGAGGAGAGCTCACCGCTAATGACGTGGCATCCGGATAATTCTCAAAGAAGTAAAATTCAGACGGGCCTTTTCTGATTTCTGTTCTATCATTAGGTTCGTTTCTACGGCAAATGAGGGGCTCAGACGATGCCAAAGATGTTGGTGTGGAATTTGTTTGGCTGATGGGTTTCGGTTGAGAGTTGGAATGGTTTACAGGCGCTTGACGCGCTATTAAACCATTTAGCTTTATTTTAAAATTGAGGGACTTGCAGCGCTTAGACACGCTTCAAAGCGCCACCGTTCAATAATTAGCTTCCCCTCCTTTATTTGGTTCTCCCCGGTGGCACTGTTCTTTTTGAGATATCAAATTACCAAATAACCAAACCACCAAATTCCCACCAGCCAATTGAGTTCCAGAAAAAACGTGCCAAGTGTTGTTGTTTGGTCATTTGATCACCTACCGGTGGTGATGCTCTTATTGCCTCAACCTCATCGCCCTAACAACCTATTAATGTTATCCCTTTTGATGCGCAGGTACCGGGCCCTGTC